AATTAAGTTCTTTGGAAGATTGAAATGTCCTGGAGAAGCCTGGATATTTTTGAAGTCTGACTATTTGACAGTATTCTTTATTTCCACTGTAGTTATTTGCCCATTTAGGTGTATATCTTAAGTCAGCTTTGATAATTTGCTTCTTAAGAAAAATGTGTGTTTCATTTGGGCTTTCATCCTTAACAACTGTTTGTTGTGTAATGTACTTTCCTGTTTTGTTTTGTTTTTTTCATAGTATCTGTAAATGTTGATGTAGTTTGAATCCTGATTTGAAGGAACCCAACTGTAAAAAAAGACATTTGTTAGTTAATTGATGCAGTTTGATTGTAGAAGACAGTGGGGTAAATTTTATCAGACCAAAGTCTGGATAAGGTCAAAGAATTACTGTTAATTTTGTTAGGCATTTCATAATGGCATAATTTGGTTTGGATAAGGTCAAAGAATTACTGTTAATTTTGTTAGGCATTTCATAATGGCATTGTGGCATCTAAGAACATTTCATATTTTCAGACAAGTATATTAAAGTATGTAGAGATGAAATGACTTGATGTCTGGGATAAGCATTAAAATTCTAATTGACAAAATAACAAATGAAGTAAATATAGCACATTTTATATTATAATTCGATCTATGTCATGGATTTATGAGTGTTCATTATTATACTTTCATATGTGTTTGAAGATTTTTATAATTAAACTTAAAAAAACAAAACTGTTACCCCTGTGATGTAATCAGAGTACTTCTTAGCATAGTCCCTCCAACCCCCACTTCTTTTTCATTTATGTCTTTGCTGCCCAGGTGTATTATAGTTAAATATATTTTATTCTCTGAATAAATTTGTTTCATAATTACCACACACAGTTACTCCAGTTTTATATTGGAAAGGATTACAGCCTTTCATGTTGTATGCTAACACTTTCGTTGAATGATTTATTTATTTGTGAATTTTGTGTTTTTCTTTAAATCTGAATTTAACTTTCAGATGAATTATACTGTTAAGTAGGTGGTGGTACTTAGTGTATATGCGTACTGAGTCATTTCATATTAGAAAATGTCTTTCTGTTCTCTTGATTTTTGAATGACAAATTCTTGATAATTTAAGTCTGTTGGCCTGCTTGGGTTTTTTTGCAGGGTTTTTTAGTTTAGTTTTTTTAGCCAAAAGAGGAGAAAATTGCCTATTATTTTTCCTTTTGTAGTTTTGCCTAATATTTTGACTTTGACTTTTTTTCCTTGGATAATTAGAGTTTTTATGTTTTTTTTTTAAGTGTGAAGTTCAGTATCTCTCTCAGTACTGATCCATCTGTATTAGGTTTTTCTGGGTTATATATGAGACCTTTAATATTCAGATCTCACTTCCAGTCAAGATGTCAGCATATGTAAATGTGGTACTCAACTCCTGCCACAGTCACATCAAAATGACTAAACTACAGAACAACCATCATTCAGAACAACCTGAAATCTGACTGAATGGAAGTCATACACCTAGGAATGTAAAGAAACAGCCACACTGACACTGGTGGTAGGGGTGGAGACACAGAAAGGCTGGTTCCACACCTGCATGTGGCAGATAAATAGTGGGAGGGATATCTTGCCTGTGGAGAGTCCCTATGAGGAGTAAGGGGTCCTATCCCCACACAGGGCCCTCCAGCCCAGGAGTTCACTGCCAGGAAGAAAAGTCCCCGTAACTGTTGGTTGTAAAATCCAGCAGGATTTGAGGCTGAGGAACATGGAAGCTGCTGGAGTCTCATGCAGTTACTTTTGGGCTGGCACGTGGACTTACTCTGACTCACTCCCTCTAAGCTCCAGTGCTGGGACAGCTACTTGAAAGGCACCATAGTTATATAGGGAGGAGCTGAATTGTTTGGCATCAGGGTGAGAACTGAGGGGGCAGCTTTCCCTCAGACAACAGTACTAGCACAGGCCATTGTTTCTTTGATGAGCCCTCCCCCCGACAGCCAGCAGGAGGGTGCCATATCTGAGATTCCATCAGTTTGGCTCCCTCTGTTTGCCTCTCCCTGGCAATTCCCTGAGGCCCTGCCCCACCCAGCTTTGGGGCTCACCCAAGCTATTTCCAGTGGCTTTTCCATATGAATGGCTTATGTGGTTCATACTTGAGAATTTCCTAAATTCTCTCAAACAGGCAGCACATGGCTTGTGTGTTTGAGCACTGTACCTCTCACTAAGTGTCCCCAGGCCCAATACTAGCAACAGCTGGCCTTGCTTCACAGCTTGGTTTTACTTGGGCAGCTCCAAGCTCAGCACAAGTAGCAGCCATCTGCATATTTTTTTGTAATTTATGCTGGGTGGCCCTGGGCAGAATACAGGTGGTGGCTGACCTTGGCCTGTACCTCCTGGGAAGCCCCAAAGCCTATGCATCCAGTAGACAACTTCAGACTACACTGAAGCACCACCACCCAACTAACTCCACAAGAGACACACTCAAGGGGCAGATTCATCAGGCACCAGAGCCTGCTCAAGTAAGTCCTGCTGTGTGGGTTGAGCCTCTGCACAGCTCATCCTCCATGGTGGTGAGCAGTTGATGGTCAGTGGTCACAGCCAGTCCTTGTAGTTGATTAGCCTAGGTAAATCCCTTCCACTCACATGCCAAGAGCAGTCAAGGCTCATCTACAAGGGGAAGGGTATACAACCCACATGGGGGACACATCGGGACTGCCCAGCTTGGGTAATAGGGGTGACTGTGCTGCTGGACCCTACAGGACACGTACTACATTAGTTTACCAAGCCTGGGAAATGTAGCAGCTCTACCCAATACATAGAAACAAACATAAGTAGGCTGTCAAAATGAGGAGACAAAAAGACATGGCCCAAATGAAAAAACAGAACAGAACTCCAGATAAAGAACTAAACAATGTGAAGAAAAGCAATCTTCTAGATGCAGAGTTCAAAACAGTGGTTATAAGGATGCTCAATGAACTTAGAACATCAACAGCATAAAAAAGAACCAGTTAGAAATGAAGGGTACACTAATTGAAGAATAATTTACTGGGAATCAACAGTAGCGTGGAAGAAGCCAGGACTAAAATCTGCAATTTGGAATATAAAGAAGCAAAAAACCCAAAAAAACCCAAAACAAAACACACCTAATCAAAGCAGCAAAAAGAAAACAGAATCCAAAAATATAAGGATAGTGTAAGAAGCTCCTGGGACAACTTCACATGTACCAACATTCTCATCATAGGAGTACCAGAAGAAGAAGGGAGCAAGAAATTGAAAACCTATTTGAAAAAATGGCAGAAAACTGCTCTAACCTAGTGATAGAAATAGACATACAAGTCCAGGAAGCACAGAGTGTCCTAAATAAGATGAATTCAAAGAGGCGCACACCAAGATACATCATAATTAACATGCCAAAGATGAAAGACAGAGAATCTTAAAAGCAGAAAGAGAAAGGTATTTAGTTATGTACAAGGGAGCTTCCATAGACTGTCAGCTGATTTCTCAAAAGAAACTTCAGGCCAGAAGGGATTGACAAGAAATATTCAAAGTGATGAAAAGCAAGGACCTACAACCAAAATTACTCTACTCAGTAAAGCTATCATTTAGAATTTAAGAACAGATAAAGGGCCTCCTAGACAAGAAAAAACAAAAGTAGTTCATCACCACCAAACCTGTATTTGGAATGTTAAAGAGCCTTCTTTAAAGAAGGAGAAGATCAAAAATATGAACAGTAAAATGGCAATAATAGTATCTATCAACAATTGAATCTAAAAAAGAAAAACAAGCAGAACAGAAACAGAATCATAGATACAGAGATTGTTTTAGTCACTATGTGATGTCTTAAACACAAGTAGACTGATTCTTCCCATATTCTTCCCATAAAAAATTGTTGTAGCTATTCTAGTTTATTTGCCTTAATATGTAAATTTTAGAATAATCTCATCTGTATAAAAAATCTTGAAGGGATTTTCATAGAAATTGCATTAAACTCATGCATCCAATTGGGGAGAATTGACATCTTTGCTATGTTAAGGCCTCTAATGCATGAACATGCTGTTTCCCCATTTGTTTAGTTAGGTCTTGTTTGATTTTCTTATCAACATTATTTAGTTTTTAATCATACAAGGTTAGTGCATGCCTTAATTTTATGTTTTCCACAATCTTTATCTTCAAAGGGATCATATAAAGTAGGACTGCTCAAGAGAGGTAAATGTCAGAAATGCATAGCTGACAATCAGAGTTTGTTTAGATTTGCGTCATTTCCCCCTTAAAAAAATACATTCAAGTAAATCTAACTTAATATGTTAAGTCTTTAAAATAAGCGTAACTGGTATAATCTAAATTCTGTAAAACTATAGCAAAATGGTGAAGAGTCTGAATTCTTGATTTAGACCACTAATGTGAACCTGAGAAGGTTACTAACCTCTCTTAAGTTCATCTATGAAATAGGATTCATAGTCTTTAGTTTATGGTACAGGACTCAAATGTTAGCTATAATTATCTCTCCTTCTATTTCTTTCTCTGTTACTTATAAAGATGCTATTCATATCTGTAATGGTATTCACCAAGAGTTGTTTCTGGTTGATGGGATTTAGGGTAATTTCTTTCTTAATGCAGTGCTTTATTGTGTGCTTTTTTTTTAACAGTGGATAACACAAAGCTTTTCCTTAATAAAGTAAAAATAAATATTTTAGTTGTCCCAGCACTTTTTTTTTTGTATCTGAAATCTCAATCGTTGAGCCTGGAAATCTGTATTTTTAAAATGCTTCTCAAGTGATCCTAATTGAATCGTGTTTTCTCATACTCATATTCACCCATGTCCCACCCCAGCAGTGATTATTCATTTTATTGACTTGTCCATAATGTGCTATTTTAGCAGCAAACAAAGGGATAAACTCGTAGGTAAAAGTTAAATACTCTTAGATATACTCTCATAGGAAAGGAATTAACTTTCCAGTGTAGCTAAGTTATCAGACTTTTTACTGTTGATATGTATAGTACTCTATAATTTATAACATCCTGCTATTCCTTTTTTCTTACAGAAATACAGTTTCGGGAAATGGCCTCTAAATCTTGGCTGAATTTTTTAATCTTCCTCTGTGGATCAGCAATCGGATTTGTTTTATGTTCTCAGCTACTTAGTATTTTGTTGGGAGAACAAGGTGATACCCAGCCTAAGATTCTTCATAATGATCCTCATGCTGGGCATTCAGATGATAATGGACAGAATCATCTAGAAGGACAGATGAACTTCAATGCAGATGCTAGCCAACATAAAGGTATAGTTTAAAGAAGTAAACATAAATCATATTTTTTAGTCTGTGTAAGTATTGAAAAAATTGGAAAAAGATATATGAATTTAATTATATCACACTATATTTTAATTTACCACACTGTATTTTTTGATAAAAATGATCTTAATTCCAGGTATTAGATGACATTCTTGGTTTGCCTCAGAAAAGGAATTGCTAAAACCTAGATGTATTTAGGTAGTAAAATATTAATTTTGAATTTATTTCTCAGTAGGAACAGTTCAGAAACTGTAATTTGGGAAAAGGCAAAACTTTTTAGACTAGATTTGTTTCTGAAAATTTTTGTTTAGTCTAATTTTCGTATCGTGTTTATATTTGTATCTTTGGATTTTGCTTTTGTCTTATTTTGGTATTAGTTTTTGCTTACCATGTTTTCTTAGAGAAATGCAAGAGTTATATATAAATTTCAGTTTATATTTTTATTAATAGTTAATATCACTAATCTTTTTTCCTTTTGAGAAGAATAAAGAACTAAGGAATTAGAAAGCTAGGTATGTGTTGTGACTTCATTTTTTCCTGTCCTCATATCTCTAACTAGATTTTCTCAACTTGAGTCCTCTGGGTGCCCATTAAATGGAGGTTTTCTCCAAGTTTCTGTCCTTTGGCTCTTCTTTGCCTGCATGATGTCATTAGCCCCTATAGTTTTCATTTCCATCTCTTCTTTACTGTCATCATCTTCAACTCCATTTTAGATACTATAAGGCATCAACACAGTTCAAAGATCTCTGCAAATGTTCTGGTTTATGTAACAGAAAAGAATACAAGCAGATTGAAAATAATTAGAGCTCTAGGATGGATAGGATCCGTATTAAGAGTTGTTTCTCTTACCTTTCTGGCTGTAAATTACTTATTTCCTACCTCTCAAGCAAAGGTTCTAGGGCAAGGTGTCAAATCTTGGTTGAGTTTTGTGTACTAGCAAGCACATGAATACCTTTACAAATTGTATTATGTTGTGTAAATGTTTATGTAACTGAGTTAACTCCAAGCAGGTGCTCTGTGGTCTTATTGGAAAGCAGTTTGATCACTGTGCACTTGCTCTGTAGCATTGCTTCAGGTCTTGAAATGATCAATTGGATTGAGGCTCCTCTACTACTAGTAGGCTATGCTAGGTTGTCCTTAACTGCAGGAACATACACAAAATGAAGGGGATGCTAAAAGTTGTCTGTTTTCTTCAAACTTAACATGTGCATATGAACTCCTTTTTTTCTTTTCCTTCTTACTCCTAAAACTTATACTTCCTTTCTTATTTTATATAGCTCATTACTACCTGCCTATGCTAGAAACTTAAGTTATAGTAGATGCTTTTCTTTGCTTACCATTCAGTCTCATTTGTGACTTAAATCTAACAGTTCACCTTCTGTACCGTTTTTCAGATTTCTTTTCTCAATCCATAGTGCATTTCTCCTAGTTCAGATCTTTAGTATAACCCATTAACCTGCACGCAGCCAAACTTTACCATGCCTTTTGTCCTTTGTTTTGGTGAACATCTCATTTAAAGTTCTATTTTCTGCATCATCTCTTATTTTCGCAGATACTGCTTTGTTTTCCCTTCTCTTTTCTAGCCACATTCCCTCAACTTTCTTTTCCCACAGCACATCAAACCCTTTGTATTTACCTCCTAAATTGTAGCATCTTTTTATTTCCTTGATATGTGGCAAGTATAGGTTTGCACATGTGTGTTATTCATCTACTTATCTCCTGTGCTAGCACATGTTTATTACAGAGTAATTAATGAGTGAGGATTTGATATATCTGTATAGCTAGGAGATTGGGCTCCCAAGTATAAGAATTGTGAATGCGCTCTAACTGGAAATAGGGTGATTTTGTCTGTTTTTAGATTGTGATTCTTGATACTTAGAGGGGCATGAGTGTATTTTTATACCCTGCACCAACCTTGCCTTCTAGACTCTTTCAATCAGTTAACTAGAAGTTTATGTCTTTGTTGTTAATTTTTCATAGGACTGAGCTTTTGTAACTCACTGGTTGACCTTAACCTGAAGGATATGCTTTCTGAGGATTCTACCTAGAGCATTGCTGTAGATTGCTATAAAGCGTAATACATATTTTTCAGACTTCAATTAGTGCTGAAATCACAATTAAACAGTTAGAAACTTTATGGTAATTTGGAAGTAATTTTACCTAAATCTAAAGATAAAAACTTACTTGGGCTTGTATTTTATATTTCTTTTTTAAAATTTTATTTTTCAGTATTTCACTTTTAGCATGTTTATAAAAGTATAGGTCTCTAACTATTGGAAATAAAAATTGGTCCTCACCAAGTACTGATCTAGAATCTTGTAGTTGGACTCATCCTCTGTACCAGTGTTACTCAAAATGTGGTCCTGGCATGACAGCCTGTGAATTGTTACCTGTCTGCACCCAGATAAGGAGCTTGCACAGGATGTAAATCATTTAAGCTCACTGTTTTAGGACTTTTTTTTTGAGGGAAGAGGGGAAAGCAAGACTTCCTCAATGAAAAACTTAACATGCTGCTTTCTATTCCAGCGTAAGCTCCTTACACATTTATTTGCAAACCCATACTTTGGAAAACACTTCTCTAGATAATATTGAAAATACTACCTCTACCTATTCATCTGTTCTTTTTCTGACTGGTGGATTTGAATTTGTAATGAGGTGTGTTACTAATAGAAGTAATCTCAACTGTGCATTAATGCCTCTTCATCAAACTGGGGTAGTTGGGAAAGCCTTTTTAAAGCCATCTCGGAGAGTACTTGTAGAAATTCATTCCAGGGGACTCTTGTGAGCTTCAGAATGAACTGCCACTTCAGCAGTATGTCTTCCCTGCCTTTCAGAATTTATTCAGAGCAATGAAAAATTCCTGTCAATTTTCTGGTTAAGAACCAGCTGGAGCTTTCTTTGCAGAATGAAGTGAAAAGCAGACTCTCTTAAGGTGGTGAAATGCACACAAATCACTAGGAGAACTTGTTAAAATTCAGATTCTGATTCAGTGGGTCTGGGTTGGGACTTGAAATACTACATTTCTAACAAACTCCTAGATGTTGCTGATGCTATTTGGTCAATGAATCAAAGGAAGAGTAAGAATTTAATTCATAGTGACAACTCTTGTTAGCTCCAGTGATCTCCTAAAGATTGACAAGAAACCAGTGAATCAGAATGTCAGTTCATACTAGGTTGAGTTTTGCTTCCTTTCAAATTAAATCACTAAATGGCAGTTGGTAAGTAGAAGCAGGGATGGGGGTGGTTATTTGAAATTGTTTAAGAAAATGTCTTCTTAAGCATAATTTGTTTGGATTTTAGATATATGTAAATATAACTTAAACATTTTTTTTTGTTTAATAGATGAGAACACAGACATTGCTGAAAACCTCTATCAGAAGGTTAAAATTCTTTGCTGGGTTATGACAGGGCCCCAAAATCTAGAGAAAAAGGCTAAACATGTCAAAGCTACATGGGCCCAACGCTGTAATAAAGTGTTGTTTATGAGTTCAGAAGAAAATAAAGACTTCCCTGCTGTGGGATTAAAAACCAGAGAAGGCAGAGACCAGCTATACTGGAAAACAATTAAAGCTTTTCATTATGTTCATGATCACTATTTAGAAGATGCTGATTGGTTTTTGAAAGCAGATGATGATACATATGTTATACTAGACAATTTGAGATGGCTTCTCTCAAAACACAACCCTGAAGAACCCATTTACTTTGGGAGAAGGTTTAAGCCCTATGTAAAGCAGGGCTACATGAGTGGAGGAGCAGGATATGTACTGAGCAAAGAAGCCTTGAAGAGATTTGTTGATGCATTTAAAACAGAGAAATGTACACATAGTTCCTCCATTGAAGACTTAGCACTGGGGAGATGCATGGAAATTATAAATGTAGAAGCGGGAGATTCCAGAGATACCACTGGAAAAGAAACTTTTCATCCTTTTGTACCAGAACACCACTTAATCAAGGGTTATCTACCTAGAACATTTTGGTACTGGAATTATAACTATTATCCTCCTGTAGAGGTAAGTTTAGAAATGTTATTACAACATAAATACTCAACTGACTTTTGCTTACTTAAAAAAAAAGTACCTAATATGTGTATGTTTCTTTAGCATTGCTGTCTCCTTTAGTCTTTTTGCATAGAATAACAGTCTAACAAAGTAAATTAGAATGAGAGTGTCAGCAATAGTCAGTCATTCAACAAATATTGGTACTTACGACATTCCAGCCACTAAGACTGTAGCAGTAAATATGGCCAATCTTCATTTCTCATGGACCTTACATTCTAGATGAGGAGATCTACAATAAATAGAAAGACTATCAAGTTATAATATGATTCTAGGTTGCGGTAACTGCCCTGAAAGAAAAAAGCTGGGTAAGGGGATATAGCATGACTCAGAGTAGAGTTGGATACTCTAGTTTGAGTGATTAAGGAACAACACATCAAAAGACTTTGAGGTTCAAAAAGACCTAGGTTCAAGTCCTGCTCTCCTACTTAATAGTTGAATGACCTTGGATGGGCAGAATTTGGTTAACTTCCTAGCATCAGTTTCCTTATCTGTAAAATGGACATGATTTACCTGTCTCATCCAGTTGTCCTTACGGTGTAATACAGTGCTTGCCACACACTAAGCATCTAATAAGCCTTAGCTCTTGTTTGACACCTTAACTTACATTCCTGAAAACTTTATATAAAGTGCATTATTTTATTAAATTTATCAGATGTACAAATGTTTGAGAAGAGTATAATGTCTTGTACCCACAAGCCAGCTTTACCAAATATTAATCTTATGCTATATTTGCTTTAGATTTTTTAAAATAAAAAGGTATAGATACAGCTGAGGCCTCTGTCCTCTCCAAACCATTAATCTATGTATCTGCTTATTTATTAATTTAAACTGCTGTGTGATAATCTGATCTAGTGATTTTCAACCGGTGTGCTGCAAGATTTTTTAAAACATGCAATACCTGATTATTTTAGTAAGGGCACTGACCCCTTGTCCCTTAAATTGTCAAATAAAAAAATGATAACATCCAACATAATAGCCATCCAGTGTGCATGAATCAAAATTATAACTATTTTTTGTCAGATCTGCAAAAATGTATTTTCTGGTATGCTGCAGAATTTTAGTAATTAGTTTATGTGTGTCATGACATGAAAAAGGTTGAAAAGTACTGATACAATATATGAATGTACTATAATTTATCCATTCTCCTGGTGATAAAAGGTTGCTGCCAGTTTTTTGCTGTTATGAGCATTGCAGCAGTGAATGAAGGAGACCAGGAATCATGAAACCCAGCTTTTAATCTCAGTTCTGTTATTATTAGGTTGGCTAAAAGTTCGTTTGTTTTTTTCTGTAAGATGGCTCTAGTAGCGCTTAGTTGTTTTTAACTTTATTCTAAACAATTGTGTTAGATTGTATTGTGACAGCTGTCATATCAGCATACATTTAAAAAAATTATCAAAATTGGTGAATTTTTGTGCAGCCACTTTAACATTGAAGATGGAAGAAAAAAAACACAACATTTTTGGCATATTATGCTATATTATTTCAAGAAAGGTAAAACCAGCTGAAAGGCAAAAAAAAAGATGTGTGCAGTGTATTGAGAGGGTTCTGTGACTGATCAAACGTGTCAAAAGTGGTTTGCGAAGGTTCCTGCTGGAGATTTCTCACTGGACAGTGCTCCACAGTCAGTAGATCAGTTGAAGTTGATAGTGATCAAATCAAGACATTGAAAACAATCAACATACCACATGGGAGATAGCTGATATACTCAAAATAACCAAATCAATACAGTTGTTGGTGAAAATTTAAAATGTCTTTTATTTTATGGAAAAAACTTTATAGACTTTTTGGCTAACCCAATAATTAATAATGCCTTTAGGCAAGTTACTGGCACTTTGCCTTCTTTCCCTCTGGCCCAGAAATACAAGTAAGTACTTTGTGCTATCATTCCCTTCTTCACAAGTCAACACTTTCAGATCATCACCTAGTTCTCAACCAGGGTTTGTTTTGTTTTTCCCCCCAGAGGACTGTTTTTCACCCAGAGGACATTTAGCAAATCTGGAGGCATTTTGGTTGTTAACCAGGAGGTTCCATCTGGCATCTAGTGGGTAGAAACCCACAAGATTATATAACTCACTGAATGCTAAACATTCCACAACACACAGCACAGCCCCCAACAACAAAGAATTATAGTATCTGGCCCAAAATGTCAGTGTCACTGATGTTAAGAAACCCTGACCTAGAACATCTGACCCAAGCTTTAGATGATCAACTTTAAAGGAAACTGAAACCATTACTACTACTATCACCCACCAGAGCAGTGTGTTCTTGGTACTTACACAGACATGATACCTAATCCTTACAGTAACTCTGCATTTAATAGGTGACAAAAATGAGGCTCAGGAAATTAAAGTGACCTGCCTCTCCTAACAAGTAGTTTAAGTGTTAGTGCAAACCACCTTGATTCTAAAAGCTGTTATTTTCATCCTGAGTTCTCCTGTATGATTAGTGGGGTATCTACCCCACAAGGGTGGGGATAGGAGGATATGTTAAAATAAGTATTCTGTTGGGATAAAATTCCACTTTCCTAAATAAACTTTTTAAAGTTCAGTTGTATGTAATGAGCCTGTTTGAAACCTTATACTAGCATTTTATTTCTATTGTAGATGCAAAATTTTTAGACTGTGAAACAGATGCATTCCCAAGCCTGTGTTTTTGTTTTGTTTTAATGAGGTGCTACTTTGGGTGCTTTTTTGATGTAAACTTTTCTTACTGTATTCTGACTATTCCAAGGTTACCTGGTTGCTTGCCTTCTTAATTTTACCTCCTTTTGCATACAAAAAATATACCCAAACTCAAAAAACATAATAAATGATATAATAAATACACCTAAAGGTGTAAAACTTCCCCAAAATTATCTGGTACACATACAGCAAAGGGGTATCATAATTGTTCATTGTTTTGTAACCAGTAAAATATCCTCCTTTTCCTTTAAGAGAACTGCCCACAATTCCCACCAACATGTATATGGGAATTCCCACCAACCTAACAATATGCTTTATATGAACAAAATAAATATTTCTGTAGTGCATCTTTTATTTAAATTGTAGTAGTTTTTAAAATGTATGGCAAAATATATGTTTTTCCTGTAAAAATTTATTCAGTTGTATTAGAGGTTATAAAATAGACTTGGGAATACCAAAACTGACCCAACTTTCTAATGTTGTCTCTTCGCTCTTATTAGATTTCTGTTATTACTCATCCATCATTTAATAAATTTTCTTCCTGAGTTACTGTTTTTACAGCCATCCTAAATTTTATACATACATTCTCTGTGGTAATCACTAAAAATAAAAGTGTAGAAAATTTTTTGGAGTCATAGTGAGATACTCTAGTTCAGGGGTCCCCAACCTCTGGCCTGTGGACCTATACGGGGCCACACAGTAGAAGGTGAGCTTGAATGTAATGTGTTTGAATCATCCTGAAACCATCCCCCTACCTCAGTCCATGGAAATACTGTATTCCACAAAACTGGTTCCTGGTGCCAGAAAGGTTGGGGACCGCTATTCTAGTTGTCAAAGAGTTACATTCTTAAGGTAGTTGTTCAGAACTTTTCATACTGCCTGCTTACTTCCCTATAAGTGAGTCTATTCCCTGGAAAAAGGCTTTTCACCAGAGAATTTGCATTCATAACACAATAGATTTAAAATAGATGTGTATTTACTATATATAAATATATATGCTTCTATATATGAAATTGCTTTTTTCATAGGTCAGAAATAATCAAATAAGACTTAATTCTCTTAGTTCTTCAGTTTTATTTAGACTAATTCATCTGAAATTTACTGGTATCTGGTTAGGCAGAGAGTTCCTGAATTTTAAAATTGTTAACTAATTATTCCAATAGCATTTTTTAAAAAGATTTTATTTATTTATTTTTAGAGAGGGAAGGAAGGGAGGGAGAGAGAGAGAGAAACATCAATGTGCGGTTGCTGGGGGCCATGACCTGCAACCCAGGCATGTGCCTTGACTGGGAATCGAACCTGCGATACTTTGGTTTGCAGCCCGTGCTCAATCCAGTGAGCTACGCCAGCCAGGGCCAATACCATTTTTTAATGAGTCTTACTTTCATTACTGATTTAAAATACCTCTTTATCATACACTCTTGCATACTTATAGAGGGATTGGTGCCTGGAGTTCAGTTCTCTTCCATTCCATTTGGTTTTGGCTCAGTGCCATGTTGTTTTTAACCTTGTAGCTTTACAGCATATTTAAGTTATTAATCTAAGAGTGTGTATTTCTCTTTTAAATTGTTCTGGCAGCTCGTATGTCATTTCCTTGTGTATAAAGTTATTAATTTAGGGTAGTGGACATCTTTACTCAGGAGTTTTTAAGTTTCCTTTTAGGTCCCCTAGTGAAGTTTTACAGTTTTCTTCAGAACTTTATTTCTTCTTAAGTATTTTCCTAGATATTTACTATTTTTCTTACTGTTCCACTTAGGCTGTTTCTTAAAACTTCTTAATTGGTATATATCAAAGCTTCTGGTTTTTTAAAGCATCTTTGAAATCTGGCTGTGTTCTTGGCTTCTTAATTTCAGGTGATTTTTCACTCGACTCTTTTTGAGTTTTTGAGGTAACCATAACGATATGCAAAAGACTATTTTATTTTTAATAATTATAGCTGTTTTACTATCTTTTATTGCTTATAATGCTTAATAATAACAGTATTCTGGCCATCCATTAGAAAATAATAATGCAATAGGGTGTAACAATACAGCAAACCCTATAAAAATATTATTACAATTTCAGAGTCAAAATTGCTTCCACAGAGGATCAGCAATTTAAAATTAACTACTATTATTCAGGGTTTTTTTAGTTTACTGTGTATTGGCTAGTATAGTAGCCATTAAGCACATTAACTTTTGAGCACTTGAAATGTGGCAGGTCCACACTGAGATGTGCTTTAAGTGTAAAATTCACACCTGATCTCACGGTTTTAGCACAACTAACAAGAATGATTTCATTAATAATTTTTAAAGTATTAATTACATACTGAAAAAGTAACAATATGGATTTATTCAGCTAAATAAAATACCTTCAAATTAATTATTTTTATTTCTACTTTTTAAATGTGGCTACTAGAAAATGTTAAACTACATTATGTGATTCATTAGGTGATTTATTTATTTTTTAAAAGATTTTATTTATTTACTTTTAGAGAGAGGGGAAGGGAGGGAGAAAGAGAGGGAGCGAAACATCAATGTGTGGTTACCTCTCTCAAACCCCCAATGGGAACCTGGCCTGCAACCCAGGAATATTCCCTGACTGGGGATCAAACCGGCAACCCTTTGGTTCACAGCCCACGCTCAATCCACTGAGCTACACCAGCCAGGGCTAAACTACATTATGTGATTTATATATACCTATCAGACAGAGCTGATTTAGATAATCACAAGTTGACTTATATCACAAGTATGACTTACATGTTTATATATGTGATATATATGTTTATATGACTTATAAACATGTAAGTCATACTTGTGATTTTCATATATTTGTTTGTATTACATTCCCTAAAGACATAAAAAATAGATACTAGGTAATTTTTCAGTGCCTACATAGTTGTCCAAGATCTCACAAACAATGTTTGTTTCAAAGGAAAAGTTGAGAATCAGGCCAGAGAAAATATAATGAACAATTTCTCGATAATTTTTACTGCATTGTAAGCTACATATTTCCAAATATGAATTATTAAATGTTCAATTTAATAGGTCAATATCAGTCTTCTCCGGGAACTTGTCAAACTGTCTTTCTCCCTGGATCCTTGCAAAGGCATATAGAATCTGAATTTTGTTGGACTCACCTGGATGAAACAGTCTCCAGATATCAGTTCTGATCCTAAAAATGACCTTGTGACTGTTTAACTCTGTGACCAGTTTTTTTGTTTGTTTTCTTTATTTTCATGCTTTTTCATTCTTATTTGTTGTATTTTTTGTCTAGTTTTTAACTTGTTCTCATACCAGCTGTATTAGGAATGTATGAGAATTCCATAAGTGAACAATGGTTTAACCGTTACGGAGGGCCACTTGAATGTTATTGTTTTAGCAATAATAGCTCACATATTGAGCATTTATGATATATAAAGCTTAGTCCCAGGCATTTTACACACATAATCTCCTTTAACCATCTTTTGCAGATAGGGAAATTGAAGCTTATGGAGATTTAGTAACTTGCCCAGTGGCATACACTAATAGGCAAAATCTGAATTCAATCCTAGGTTTGATTCAGAACTTTCCTAAATACTATACTGTTTGGGTTAATGTGCAGATAAAGTATTAGGTTGCAGATACATTATGGGCAAAGCTTTCTAGTCATTGAATGCTCCAACGGTATTTTTCTGAGGCTGAGCCCAGCAAAAATTTACAGTGAGAAAATTATGAAGAAAAAGCGAAATTTGAAGAAATAGAGCTTTATCCTTTGTATATCTATTCCTTTCACTTAAAAAAACTCTCAAGATGTTTTCCTGCTAAAACACTATAGAGTATGAGAGAATATTATTTCAGTTAGAAATACTTATGTGTAGTTTCAAATTATTAGGAACTCTATAAATTCCTTTCTTCCACATGTCTAATAAATTAGGTGCCTCTTTTAATAAACCTTGCCAGCTTTAATTACTGGATTCTGTTAAAATTAGTGTTTCTTTTATCACTATGTGCATATTGTATTTTAACAATGTACTGCTTATTAATAATGCCTGTTTCCACTACTTTTTTAGGGGCCTGGTTGCTGTTCTGATCTTGCAGTTTCTTTTCACTATGTTGATCCTACAACTATGTATGAATTAGAATACCTCGTTTATCATCTACGTCCATATGGATATTTATATAGATATCAACCTGCCTTACCTGAGAATATACTAAAGGAAAGAAGTCGAGCATACAAAAATGAAGATACAAAAGTAAAGTTGGGAAACTTTGAAAGAAAACATGAATGAACAGAGGTAAAATGTCTAGCATTGCACTGAAGAACTTCTGCATTTCTTTTATAGAACACTGGACTCCCAGTGAAGAATTCTAAGTGAACATTCCTTATTAGAAATCTTTCATATGAATTGACTGTCAACTGAAGCTTTAATGAGCTGTGAGGTCTGTTAAAATGTGTTTTTGATACAGTAATATATATATATGAAAAACTTGTGATTTTATAATGTTGGCCAGGCAAGGGGACTAGAAAAGAGATTTTATTGCCCATTCCTGACCACATGTATTATTTTCAGCGGGAAGCTAAAACAGTAAAATTTGTTAAAACATCACTGTACCATATTAGTAACACACACATGATGTTAAACAGATCTGCCTTAAAATTTTAGAAGGAAGTGTTGTTGTTTTTGGTGGTGTTTGTAAACTCAAGACATGAGTTTATGTTTGCAATGTAGTATAAAGGAACCAAACTCCCTGCCACCCCTCCCCCCACCATACACACACCAGTGTGCAGTTTTGGCTAATCAAAACTTTGCTGTGACTTTAAAATTGGCAGTATTTCTTTCAGAAGTAGGTAGAACAAGAATGCACTTATCTTAACGTGCATTAATAAAATCACATTTTGAAATGATCATGGTCCTTGACTGTAATATATACATACTTGGTTTTAATTAATAGTTAACCTTATACGGGCATACCTCATTTTATTGTGCTTTGCTTTATTGCACTTCATAGATTTAGTTTTCAAACCGAATTGAAGGCAAGATTTCCTCTATAAGCAAAAAGATTAGGACTCACTTTATTGTGAGACTTGCTTTATTGAGGAGGTCTGGAACAGAACCCACAATATCCCTTAAGTATGCCTACACTGAGTCCCTGCTGTCTCTTCTAAGTATGTTCAACCGTTCTTGGATACTATTTTCAGCTAGCATTTGGTAAACATGGATTTTTAAGTATTTTGTTCCCATTTTACCCATTGTTAATTGTGGGTAACTAATAGTTACTGTAATGCTTTGGGGGGAATGCTTTTCTTATGTCAGTGCCACTCTCAGGAATTACTAAGCAACATTTTTAATTGATTATTTAAAACTCTTTCCAATTATATAACTGTAGTTCCTTTTATTCTTACCCTGTTGTGAGACACTTGTTTGTACCTTTCATAATTTGTTTAAAGCAGTTTTGAATTTATTTTTAGAATCTGAGGTGGTTATTAGTTACACTGGCAAAATAATTTAAATGTAGGATTTTACCCAGAGTTAATTAAAAACATTAGAAAACACAAAGTTCTTAAGCTGAAGTATGTCAGATATTAAAAGACCAAATACTTAATTTGTGAATAGCATCTGAATTTTGATTGCTGGCTTACATACACAGGGTGGGACACAAGTAGATTTACAGTTGTTCATATGGGAAATAATGCAATAATTAATAAAGAATAACAAGAATGAACACTGTTTTGCGTACTTACAACTGTAAACCTACTTTTGCAGCACCCTCTATTTTGGGATGATTGTTTTGCTAATGTGTAGATAATTTCAGTTGAGTAGAATACCCATTTAAGACTGCCATCAAAAACACATATGAATGTTTTGTTCTAATTATAGTGACTATCTAAAGAGTTTCTGGAAGGAAAAATTCTTTTCATTTTTGTTACCTTTAACAATATTACCTGAGTGTATCATAACAATATTTTACAGCCTTTCTGTAATACTATGTTACATGTTACAGATGGTTTACATTTCCCTTATGTTTATCATTATGCTAATTTTACATGGCTGTCACACCATTGACCCTGATGCTTAACTAAGTAGTTTATTGTGCCAAACATGTCAAAACCGTGACCTCTTTGATGGTGTATTTGAGAGGATGTTCATATTAGTGGCCAGTTATGGATACTCTGCCCATGTTGTAGAAACTTTACACCAATTTTTATCTATTAAATTGTTTTTCATGGTGTTCATGGTGGTTTCACCTGCCAAAATTTCAAGGCATTCATTCTATTTTTTGAGCAGCTCTTCACCTTGGTGTGCATATGAATTTGAGTCCATATTTGCTATTGTACTTTTCTGTGCTACTACAAGTATATATGGTTTATCATAAACATCCAAAAGCATTAGAATTTACTCACAGGAAATTAGCATGTGAAAAATCTTGGGGTCCAGAGTCAGACTGCCTGGGTTTAAATTCTTGCTTCATCACTTACTAGTCTTGTAACCTTGAGCAATTTACTTAATCTCTCTGTGCCTCAATTTCCTCATCTGTAAATTAGCAACAATAATATTACCTACCTCACAAGAATTTTATGAGGATTAAACAAGTGAATATATTTATGGCTTTTAGAACACTGTCTGGCCCAGAGGATGGAGCAATAAGTTTAAGGTTTTATGGTTAACTTGGAGTGTAAATATTTGTTTCAAATGAATGAAAAATCTACTTTAATGGAATCAGATACTGAAGGAACTATTTTGTACATTTCTTATCAGTAATTACTAGTTTTTATCTGATGCGTACTATATGCTAAGTACTGTGCTTAGATACTCTGTGTACATTAGTGTTAAATCCTCACAAATTGGGTGTTACTTCCATAATATAGATGAGAAAACAGAGGTTCAGAATTAAAGTAACTTTTCCACTGTCACAAAGCTAATAATGAGATTTCTACTCAAAGCCAGTATGTTCTTTGTACCACGTCAGCTCAGAGGTTAGTCATTTAGCATTATTTCCACTTTTACTTACTGACATGTGACATCTTTTACTCATTGGCCAGTAATAGTAAAATTAGCCAGATTGCCATAATGCTTCTCAAATTGTGGCTTTTATAGTCTCGCCTGGGAGCTTGTTAAAACTCAAATTTTACACCAAGCCCAGAAATTCTGAATCTAGCATGGGGCCCAACACTAGTCATTCTTCAGAGCTACCCTTGGGCTGTGGTTCTCAAAGTGTGGTGTAAACTGCAGTTTCCGGGCCATTTGGGAACCGGTTGGAGATCTTATCTCTCCTGGGCCCTGTCTCAGACCTACTGAATCAGAAACTAGGACTGGAGGCTAGCAGTTATATTTAAACAAGCCCTTCAGGTGAGGCTCATTCGTGCTAGTTTGAGAACCTTTTTACACTAAGATCTAAGTGATTCTGATGCAAATGATCCTTCAAACATGCAAAGAATCACGGCATAAGTAAGGTATCTTTCAAAGATTTAGATAGAGCATGTTTTAGATAGTGTAGTCCAAGATTACACTGTATTAAATGTAAAAGACTTTAAAGATGATTTAAAGGGTCAGTGGATCATTTATTTTGACAGAATTTTTTTAACTTTTTTAGAGTGGCTAATATCAGGACCTACAGAGTAAAATCTGTAATTCTTCGAATTTAGTAATTTCACATTGGGGCAGGAACAGTTCATTAAGTAAGTGCATATTACTTCATTAAAAGCATATGTAAATGAATGTCATTAAAAATGTCCACAGTTAATAAAAATTTTTAAATAGATAGAAAAATATTTTGTTATATGCAGAATGTTTTTTTTACTAATTCATACTATCAAAATTACATCACTTTCAAGAATCAGTTGACTGTCCTATGTAACCTAATAAAAGAAATTCAAGTATTTGATGGACCACATAAAACTAGATTCATGATGATACTGACTTACCTTTTAAATTAAGATCTCTGCTATTTAGATAAGTGATTTTAATGTAGTGTCAAAACATATGGCTTTTACTATTTTATGTTCTCCATAACGATATACTTGTATTTTCAGTTGGAAAGTTCATAGATGATATAAAAGATTGTTGTCCCTGAGTTAAATTATTTGTTTTCAAATACCTTAAATTTCAGAGGAGTTTTGTTCTGTGAGATTTGAAAATAAATCACTGACTAGTTGTTAATACTTTTTTGAAGTATGGTAATAGGATTTGGGCATTAAATTTGCCGATTATTTTCATAATTTTTTAGTATTAATTTTTTACTTCCTTGAGTCTGTAAAACTATATTTATCTAATTGAGGCTTCAAAAATCCCTCACTTGATTAATTAGATCAAGTCTATCCTTTTATTCTCCATTTAAATTTTCTGTTTATTTCCAATACTATGTCTTTGACAGTTTCTGCTTCTTTGTATTTATTACCCTCTTTAAATTTCCTTTTAACTAATTTCCATTTTCTAACTACTCTTAGTGCTACCTTCACAAGGTTAATTTGGCTGTCATTAGTGATTAGCATTTGTATCACTTACTGATAATTTTATATAGCTATTAACTTTGTTTCCCTATGAGTTTAGAAGTAAAAACATCTGTCTTAAGAATAATGCCTGCTGGCTTTCAGGATACTTGCCCTCCTTAAAAGTCTACAACTTTAAACTAATTCTAGATATGTAATTATTAAACAAAGCAAAGTTATTTGGATTCTACCACCGCCCCCTTAGTTTTCTCAAAATCAAACAAAAAACTCATTTGCCTGATGTCTCTATGTTTTTAGAGTAAGGCTGACAGAAATAATTAATAAATCTAGGGGACAACCTGTGGTTTAATTTATGCTAAATGTAACTATTGATTTAAAAATTACTTATTTCAGTTGAAATACAAACTTTAGTAAAGATTAGAACAAGAAATTTCACAAATTCTCTAAAGAGGAACCAACCTAAAACTAGTGTTCTGTTTTAACTCCTTTTTCCTCTCTAATTTTCAGCTTATATTAGTTAAGTTTAAATAACTTTTCAGAGCCCTGCAAATTAATAAAGTATATTACAGGGAAACTAATCTTACTGCTAAGCAGTGTGCTATATTACACAGTGAATGTTTGTGTTTTGGAGTTTAAAAATTATGTAAGGTAATAGTATCATGAATGGTTTAAAAATGTCTGGTGACTTGCTTATTTTAAGTGATCACCAATAAGTCAGAAAAAAATGTATTTTTAAATATGTTTTTTTAAAGTGCCTTTTGAACATTTTTAGACAATGGATTTAAACAATTGCATAAAATAAATCACCATGTTTAAAGCTGCTTTATCTGATTATTTTTAACTTATGTAAAAGTTACTGGAGAAACATTGTCTTTACGGGTATTTTGGGGGTTATTTTACCAAAAATAATAATTTAAATTGTTCTGCCAAAGTTATTCACTTTGAATTGGCTTAAGTAATTTTACTGTAATATATATATTTTTTAAAGCAACAAAATATTCTACCTCAGATCTTGAATAATGTACCTTAAAAAAATTATAAACACCTACTCTGTAGTCTAGATGCGTTTGTGTGTGTGTGTGTGTGTAGAAAGAGGGAGAGAGAAAGATTGCTTTCCTATTTCTTGCTATATTTTGATCTGTCATATATACTGAGAAAATAATTTATTCAACTAAGTATATATTCAAATAATTGTGCCCGGCACCTACTAGAAATACAGTGGTGAGCAAGACACACAGGATTCCTGTTCTTACAGAGCCTTAATTCTATGGTTAGCCAGCAAAACAAGTTAATAGATGAATGAACAAGATAGTTCAGAGAGTGCTGTTAGGAAAGTAGAAGTGATGTGATAGAGCACATTTCTGGGGAGAGGGGGGTGTCATTGAGACCTGTGAGGAGGTAATATCTGAGCTGAGACTTGAATGACAGATATTTTATACACTTCAAAAGGTATTTATGTTTATGAAGTTCTTTGCTCCCACTATGTAAAAAAAAAATAGCATGTCCACCTTTGCTTTGGGCATACATGGAGGCTCACTGAAATGTCATCAATAGGCCAATAACTTGGTGGTTTTAGACATATTTCATCCAGAGCTCAGATCTGTTGATATTAGATTAGTCTGGGACTTTTAAAAGATGAATAAAGATTGGCATACCTCTTCCTAAGGAAATGATTACAAGTGTTGATAAGGCCCTCAAGTCAGCCTATCTGTCTCAATTTTCAGTAACCTTCTACCCAGCATGTTCCTTCTTAGTCTATATGTACATTTATGTATGTATGTGTGTGTACACATACATACACTGTCATTTGGATTAACAGCTTTAGAAAAACTAAAGAGTTTTCCTAAGTCATTAGGAAAACCTATTGATAAGTCATTAGAGAAGAGATTTATTTATCTAAATACATACAGATTTACCACCTATTTCAGGTTTTCCTAAGGTATAGTCCTGGAAATGATTCAAGATTATTGCTGAATTTATCTTCTTGCTAAAGGGAAGGGCTCTGTCTCAAACATATTTTACATCAGATCTAATAATGCTGACAACATAGGTTGTCCAGATACAAGTTCTTTATGTGTTTAAGACCTAATGAACATTTAACAACTGAAGTTCAGCAACATGGACATCCTCCAGATAAATCCATCAGTATTAGTAACACATGGAAGTAAACTTTGTTTTGCCATGAGTTTGATATGTTACTAATAAATGAATTTAGTATTGCTGCCTAGAACTTCACTGTAGTTTGTGAAAAGTTGACGTAAGTGGAGCCATTTAAAAATAGAGCTAGGGCAGCCATTCCAGAGCAACTGCCTTGCATGTCTCACTACTCAAACCTTTGGAATGTTTGAACGTGGACTGGGCCACACCAGCATTGTAGTTCAAACAGCTGTTTACAAAGCTAACAGGAAAGCAAACGTCCTGATTATGGGCTGAACATGAGAGAGACACTTTAGAATTAGCACCCACCATGTATAGTTATAGGATAACTGAACTTATGTGCACCTATACAGATTCCCTCCTTCTACTCATGTAATTATTTTCCTTTCCAGGAAAGGGAAATGACAAAAAAAACTTGCCTTCACCCAATCAAAACACTATTTGCTTAGGTTTCTGCCTATATTAGTGCTTCCCAAGTAGGTATTCTTTTTGATCTCACTTGTTGCCTCTCACTTTCGCCTTTTATTTTTAGGTCAGCAAGTTCTCAAAATTATTTTTTTTGGTGCATCATTTTTTCTACTGAAAGAAGCACCAGTTGTTTGTGCTAATGTTTTTTGTATTGTTATTAATATTTCTTTTTTAGGGCTGAAAGTTTGTGTAGGGCACTCATAACTCTCTTACGCTTTGCCTCTGTCTAGTGCAGTTGAATACAGCTGCTTACTTTGCAATAATGAAATACTGTCTTTTTTTTTAATGAGATTCAGTTCTACGATGTAAGCTATTTGGGTTCTTTATTGAATGTCTGATGGAAGTTTCACAGTACTTCTGGTTTGTAGAAGTGCTTGATGGTATGCCATTATACAACTGATTTGAGTACAGCGTCTTAGTCTGCACAGCTAATTAAGTTCTGACTCTTGTCAGCTTCAAATCTTTTTTCATAGAACTTACCCTAAATAAACTGCATTGTCTTTTCTCCTTCTACACCTATAACACTGGAGTTATACACCTGGTAGCATTTAGGTTGAATTTCACTTTCCATTCATGTTGTTAAATTGTAAAGGAATCATGTGATAGAAATCCAGAAAGAAGTTTAAAAGAGAAGCAACAATTCAACTTTTCCTTTACGTCTTTTTTAAAGATTTTATTTATTTAGTCTTTTTAAAAGATTGTATTTATTTTTAGAGAGAGGGGAAGGAAGGGAGAAGAGGGGAAGAAAAACATTAATATGTGGTTGCCTCTCACGCTCCCCATACTGGGGATCTGGCCTGCAACCCAGGCATGGGCCTTGACTGGGAATTCAACCACCTACCCTTTGGTTCTCGGGCCAGCACTCAATCCACTGAGCTATACCAGCCAGGGCTCCTTTAGATCTATACAAAGCTGTCTTTCTGTATTTGTACTGTTCAGTTGTGTGTGCATGTGTGTGTGTGAGAGAGAGAGAGAGAGAGAGGGAGAGAGAAATTGGAGTAGAAAGCTATGGTTATTTTAGTAGTTGGATTTTTCTTAAAATATTGAAACTATTGCTTTTTCATATAATTAGATTTATATAATAAGTATTTGTATTTGATGAGGAGACAGTATGGGCTTAGAATAATGGGGAATAGAATGATTAATTGTTCATAAAAATAGTTTTTACAAACATACTTGCCTGGTTGAATTTCCCCTCACTTCTTGCCTTGGAATTTCTGGCTCTTTGAATTCCCCTATTCTTTTATTCTCTCATCCCATGTATTTTCTTTTTTCTTTTCTTCTCATTGGCAGCAATCCTTTAGTTCAAGATGTTTTATTGCCCCCATTTTCTATCAGTAGATGTTTTGAAGACTTTTAAAAGAATTACATATGTTTTGAGAATTTTAATTCCCTCTCACCAGCTAAAGAAACTTTCTTAGGATTAACGGAAAAGGGGAAGGAAGAGACACGACTCAGAAAATACATGCCCACATAATCCTAGAATTTCCTCTTGCCTTTGGCAGTGTTTCCTTCTAGAACCTACCCAGCAAAAATACGGGCACATTTTTAAAAACTTGAAAACTACTAAGACTTTGCCTTATTATTTTTAACCCCAAGTTAATGTCATCTTGTCTAGCAAAAGTGCTACGTGACGTTTTGAATGGCACTCCTTGTGGCAGAGGATAGCTCCTGGGAACAAAATCAC